ATTTCATTTAGGCCCCATATGATCATATTTTTAACCCCAAGTCAGCTAGAATCTTCTAGAAGGTTCTAATCTATCCTTCTCGAAAGATAAAGATCAAGAGTTTGAGATTGAATAGAATTTTTATGCGATAAACCTTAAATCTTTCGGAATCAAAGGCAAACCACTAGAAACAAACTCAGTACGAACATCTTCTATCCTATGAACCATCGCGCAGCGACGGGTTCATCACGACGCGACAGATCCTGTCGCGAAGCGACGAGCGTGTCGTGCCGCGATGGAATTCAGGGAAAAATTTATGAACTTTCACGTGTTTTTTCTTTGTCGCAACGCGATACTCCCATTGCGACGTAATAAGGGTCGTTGCGACGCGACAACCGATAAAAAAATTTATCACACTTTTTTCTTCTGATCTTTTTCTGACCGTCTGACCCTATTTTTCCCTATAAATAGAGATCGTTTTCCCCGATTTCCAAGGGAGAACGGGGATTGATAAAAAGAATTTAATGGAGAATAGAATAAACCCCAAATTCCTAAATTCCATGCTCTTAGCCTAAACACATCCTGATACATCTCAATCATTCACCATACTTCCTTTGTATGATTCGAATACTCCAAGCCATATTCGACGTCATCCTCGACCTCGACATGAAAGGTTGATATTTTCGAGGGTTAGGACACAAATCCATATTTCTATCTCTAATTAATTATTTACTTTATTGATTTACTTTCTTGAAGTTTACTAACGTGCGTATTATTTTGTAGCAAGAAAGTCGAAGCACCAAAGTAAGTAATTTAATTACTTTTTGGATAGAAATCATGTTTAGGATAACGCGTTGATTTCATTATTAGTAACATTCTAGGATTGTTATTAATCTATTTAGTACCAATGTCTAGGATGCTACTAACGATATTTTTATGATGATGATTATTATGTTAATTATATGTTGCTTGATTATCAATGATTTATTGCTATTGCTTGATCACGCCCCCTTTTTGCAGGTTTAAAGAGAATTTGTAATTGAAATCACACCTAATAAGATAATAAATAATTGGATTTAGGTTTAACATGATTTTAATCAAAGTGATCACAAAGCATTAGATTTGATTGTGCATTAATAATCAACCAACATAGATTAAACAGGTTTAGGATTAATTTGATGTATGTATGTTGATCGAAAAGCGCGCATGAACGTCAATAAGGATTAAGTAGAGGCCTATTCTAGGGCGGGTTTGACCTCTTTAAAAGTCAAGGTCGTACCATCATCCCCGAATATCCAGTCATGGTTCCAGACCACTATGGAGTTAGCAATCTCTGTGATTGTGAATGGGGGGTAACCTTCACAATCGTAAACGGTTTACAAGTTCCTAAAACTTGTTGGCGATTCTCTTTCTCTAGCTTCTTTCCTAGGATCGCCGGCATGCCTAAAAACATGACCCACGGTAGGGTGTGCAAAAATTCCTTACACCTACCATAGGCAATTTTTGCTCCAGTAATTTCAGTAAGTGATGTCGAGAATGCATTTATAATAACTAAAAGCAAATTTTGAATAATTATTGTGATTACTTTTGTTATATTTTCATAAGAATTTCTTCTGATTGTAAGGACTATGTTGTTGATTCAATAAGTTTGATTATTTTAGATTTATTATGTGACATATACTTTGAATTTATTTCAACTATAAAAGCGCTATGCAATTTATCAATGAGTTTCCAAAATGCTTGAGATTGATTTTCCATTGTTGAGCAAAAAATTGTTTGAAAATCAAAGACAATCAGAAGAATGTTTTAAGCCATTTAAAAGTATTTCGGGTTTGATCATGTGTATGTACTTAATTTCCTGACCTTATTCTATGAACCAGTCCTAATTAATATGGACAAACTTTGTTAATGGTTTTACTTGTATTTGGATATTTGGAAGCCAAAATTGGATCAAGTTCTATATTTATGCCTATGGAGATTTATTGAGTTGAGATTATATGAGTTGAATTATATTTGTCAAGAATTCATTGGTTGTAATACAGAGTATCTTATGTTATTCAAGAGTTTTGTTAGATTAAGTTATATTCTGAAGTTTATGATAAGCTAAGAGTAATTAATTAGTGATTAAGAGTTATTATTTAACAACCTAGTTAAAGGTGGATGTTATAGATGGTATTAGAGCATGATTGTTTTGGGGTTTGCTATGATCTTCATATCATAATGTATAGTATGAGTTGAAATTGGTAAAATAAGCTGTAAGATCGATGCGAATAAGTTGAAATTTGGTTGTACTCCCTTCGTTCCTGAATAGAATATCAATAAAAGATGGTCAAAGTTAAATAAAAAAAAAGTCAAGTGTGTCAATTATTTAGGAACGAAGGGAGTAATAAGTTCAAACAGATATGATTTTAAATTTATTTGATTTAATTATTTATGTTATGGAAATACTAAATTAGTGGGAGCCTTGATTTGTCTCCAATATAAACATATTTCAGTTATCAAATGACAAATTTGTAATATTTTGGGTAAAACTAGGTGCAATTGCTAACACCATAAGTAGTTTTTGCTATATAAATAATACTTGTACCACCAGCTTTTTTATTTACTTAACTTATAACCCTAAGCCATGTAATTTAAAAAAGTGATTTGAAAAGATAAACATTTACAAAATAAAATAAACTAGTATCAAATAACCTCCTATCTCTCTTATTGGTTGTTATATTTTTTTTGTATTAAAAAATCCTATTACGTTATCTAATCTCTTTCATTAAAAAATTACACTACTCAATTACAAATTTTCCAGTGGTTATCGATCAAGTAAATAAACTTGTATTTTCTCAATAATTTAGAACATTCATTTAAAAAATTAAAGGAATAATTGTCAAGAGTAAAACGACCTTTGGCCGGTTTTAAAAAATAAAACAACCTTTCGATTATTCCAAAATAAAGCGATATTTGACAGACGTCTACTTAAAATAGAATAAAAAATAGGTAACTTGTTATAGGTTATAATCGAACACGTGTCGCATTGTGATTGGTTAGAGTTTTTTTATTTTTATTTTTTCATTTTCTTAAAAAAACTTGATTTTTTAATTAAAAAAAAAACTATTTTTTTCTTATAAAAAAACCTTTCTTTCTCCTTCCCTCCTTCTCCCCATTTGTCAATTGAACCTCCTCCTCACCACCAGCTCACCTCACCGACTCACCTCTCTTCCTCTCCTCTCCCCTCCCCTCCACCTACTGCCCACAAGCCACCACATCCACCTTCTCCTCCTATCTCCCTCTTCCTTGGAAATCAGATGCCACCCCAACATTGACCCCCCTTACGAACCCATCAGAGCCCCCTCCCCCCCCCCCCCCCACGGACCACCTCTTTCCTTCAAACCCCCTTACTAACCAAGTCAAGAATAGCAGCGATTTTTGTGGGATTGATGAGGTGTGCTGGTGGTGGTTCTCATCAACGTGTGTGGGATGAAGTGGTGGGTGCAATGGTTTTCAAAGGGCGAATGAGGCCGTGATTCGATTTTTAGGAGAAAAGGAGGTGGGGTGTGTTTGGTTAAGTGTGGCCCAAATTCCATAAGCCTAACTTAGGCCTTGTTCTTTAGAGCTGCTCTGCTCTATTGAGTCCTGCTCTACTTAAAAATAATAATTAATATTGAAATATTATAATATTAATATTTAATAATAATAATAATAAATAATTAATATTTAATAATTATAATAATAATAATTAATATTTCATAATAATAGTAATAAAAATAGTAATAATAATTATTATTATTATAATTATTAATAATAAAAATAATAATAATAATTGATTTTTTATAATAAAAATTAATATTTTAAAGATAATAACTAATATTTAAAGATAATAATTATTAATTTTAATCATAATAATAATAATAAATAAATAATATTTATTAATAATAAATAATTAATATTTAATAATAATAATAATAAATATTTAATAATAATAATAATAATAAATAATAATTAATATTTAATAATAATAATAGTAAATATTTAATAATAATAATAGTAATAATAATTATTATTATTATTAATAAAAAATAATAATAATAATAATAATAATTTTTTTTATAATAAAAATTAATATTTTAAAGATAGTAACTAATATTTAAAGATAATAATTATTAATTTTTAATAATAATAATAATAAATAAGTAATATTTAATAATAATAATAATAATAATAAATATTTAATTTTAATAATAATAATAAATGATTAATATTTAATAATAATAATTATTATTATTGTAATAATAATAATTATTTTTATTTTTATTGTAATAATAATTAATATTTAATAATAATATCTAATGATTACAATAATAATGCGATAATAATAATAATAATAATAATAATAATAATAATAATAATAATAATAATAAAATAATAATAATAATAATAATAATAATAATAATGAAATCTGCTCTGCTGCAATTGCTCTACTCTACTCTACTGAGTCCTGCTCTACTGACTTCTGCTCTACTCTGCCTAGAAGCTCAAATGAACAGGGCCTTATTATGGCTCAAGGTTTTTAGAAAATTTTAGTATGTTGAGAAATTGATGGGAAAATTGTGAAAGATTCTAGATTTGGTGAATACTCATGAAGATTTTAGATTTATGTGGAGAAATTTAAAGAGCATGTGTGTAGAAGTTTCCACACACTTCTTCCACCTCCATATCTCATCTATAAATATTGGCGTTGGGCAGCATTTGGGAGCATATTTTCACCTACATCATCCTCTAATGCTTTGATCCTCTTAAATACACTCTATGAGTGTCCCTCCATACATTTTTATGACTTAGAGAGAATTTACCTGCACATTTCACCTCTCTAATATATCATGATCGGAGTTTCTACATACACACAATCTCCCTAATCCTCTATTCCTATTTTATAATACTCTTTTGCGACTTATAGTGAGAGTTTGCTTATACTACTCACACTTTCAAGGGTTCTTGTACTCTCTTATTATTCATATAGTGGATTATTTGGGTGCTCGTCGTCTGTGAATTTTTTCTGAATTTTTCCCACGTTAAATATTGTGTGTATTTTGTTTATTATTCTTGCCTTATTACTTTATTTTATCAATTTCTACGTCTTTAATTTATTTTTGCTGCGCACTCACCAATCCTAACAAGGTGGGTGGGTTTTCTAGTGGTTTCGGGGAAAGGGAGGTGGGTGGGTGGGATTTCTAGTGGTTTCGAGGAGGTGGGAAAAGGGAGGGGATTGATGGTGGTGGTTGGTGGTCTGTGAAAGGCACCTTGATGGGGAGATGATTGCTTTTTTTTTTTTAATTGAAATTAATATTTTGAGAAGAAAAATGTAAAGAAAAAAACCTACCAATTACATTGCAACACGTATGACAATAACCTATTAAACAGGTTATCAACCGGTCACATTCTATTTTAAGCTGATGTTTGTCAAATATTGTTTTATTTAAAATAATTAAAAAACCATTTTATTTTTAAAAGATCGGCCAATATCGTTTTATTATTAATAATTTTTCCAACTAGAATAAAAAAATATATAAATAATTTAACCGATTTGCAAAGTGAATATCCGTGCTTGTTTCTCAACATTAATCAAACTGAAAGCAAAATACAAATATGAAAAAGACAATAAAAATTTAAAATACATCTAAGGAGTGCTGAAAATTTCCTCTGATGTTTGGAACTAGCCGTTATCTTTCTCCTCAATTCAAAAAACTACTTTCACCATCAAACCCATTTTTGAAATTCTCCATCTCCACTATCTCAACAACAACAACTAACCATGTCGGAGATCCACCGAGTCGACCCGGACCTCCACCAATCCGAGTTGACATCACCGAGTCAGCTGGTCGAGGTGTTTTCGCAACTCGAAGAATCGAAGCTGCTGAACTCATTCACACTGCAAAACCAGTGGTTTCTCACCCTTCTCTCTCCAAAATCGATTGCGTTTGTTACCTTTGCCTTAAGAAATTAAAGTTCAGTAACGATTCTCATACTCGAATTGATGGATTTTGTTCCGAAGAATGTCGTCAAGAAGCTAAGGTAAATTAATTCTAATTTTTTTTTTCTTTTTTTTTTTCTGTGATTTTTTGTTTTTCCGGTTTTGATTTATGCAGTTCTAAGGTCTAATTATAAGTGTTAATAGTTTTAAGACAAAATCACATCGGTGTTATGATGATTACTGTTTAAACTTAGGGTTGTCAATTTCTGTTTGGAAAATTAAAGTATGAAATTAATGATTGTTATATATATCCGGGTGTACCGTACACTAATATATGTACTCATTTTGACGATTGTTTTCATTTAATCATTAAATGAAAAGCAAAAACTCCTTGGGTATACGGTGCACCCGGTGTATAACAAATTCTATTGAAAATTTGGTTAGACAATTATAAGCATGACAGATTTATAACAAAATCACGGGTTAATGATTAATGTTTCAATTTAGGGATGTTAATTTGCATTTTTGAAAAATTAATTCATTCGTTCATTATTGAAAAGTTGGATAGATGATCTAGATTACTTGTTTGCTTCAGTTAATTGTGTGGTTGTTTGAATTGTATGGTATATGGAGAGAAATTAGGTTTTTTATTTTCAAAAAAATTTTATGCATGCCAAGTGTTTGATGTTTGGTTTTTTCGAATTTGAAACTGGGAGATGCAGTTGTCATATCTGTTAGGTTGATTTGTATAAGGGGGCATTCAAGAGATGAAAATGAATGACGATTGGAAAAGATTATAGTGTGAAAGAAATCGTATAAACCTCGTAAGCCGGGCTTCATCGTAACGGGTTGATTGCTGGTACAATTGTGCTTAGATTATAGAAACGGAACTTGAGCCTATCTCCCAAGTTGTTAGTAATTGAATAGATGTTTCAAAAGTCTGAATCATTAGCAACTATTGAGTGGTACTGGTAGCATTTTGCTCTGCTTTTCCTTTGGGTAGCTCAGTGTTTGAAAAGGCACGCCTAGGCGCTAAGGTGCAAGGCGTTAGGGGTCATGCGCCTTTTGTGGTCTAGGGGAGACGATTTTGATGAGACATGAGACGTATACTTATATTTCCTTTTTATACATTGGGGTAGCTACTTCTCAAGGCTTTTCAGAAGAGTAATCAAGTACAAATTATATTGCTTCATAGCACTTGTTTTGAGACAGTATAATATAGGATTTCATGTGTTCTTGTTAGGAAGCACATGGGTTGATGATACAAATCATCAAATCATGATTGTTATGACAGTCTTTGCAAAGCCACTTATAATTTTTACTAGCTAATCTTGTTGACATCTGTTGAGAGGTTTTTTAATTGCTACAATTATTCTACTCAATTGAATTTATTGTAGTTGATGTTTTTCCCATAGAAAGTTTATCCTTGGAAGAAATTATGAAACTAATGAAACATATATGTACTACCCCCCATTCCCTCTTCTTTTTTCTTTTGAAGTGTCATTGAGGGTTTGATCTAAAGGGATTTGAGATTTTGAGCTATGCTACTGATTATTCGCAGGCATATTATGAACTAGAGAAGAAGGCAGATTGGTCCAATTACAACAAATACTGCAGGTAAATGAGATTTTTCATTTTTTTCATAATTAGGTTTTCATAAGGATGATCTTTTTATTTTATTTTGAATATTTTGCCAAGAATAATACCACTTTTCACCAGTACCTTTGGATTTTCTCAAAATAACCCAACCTTTGTGGAAAATTTGGTTGGATGCTGGTGGTTTTCGGTTGGGGAAGGTGGTCTGGGGGGTTTTTTTTTTAAAAAAAAAAATTGATAAAAAAGAATTGACCAATCACATTGTGACACGTGTCACAAGTAACTTATTAAACAAGTTACCAAAGGTGGTTATATTATTGGAAGACCAGTGAAAAGTAGTATTATTCTTGGCAAATTATCCTTTTAATTTTTTATTTTCTATTTCTTCCTTTAACCGTTAAAAGATGGTACAATAAACTACTCTTGCAAGTAATCTTAAACAGAATTCTAATTATTAACAATTCATGAATGCAGCAAGTATAAAAAAAATTCATGACTAGTATACTTTAAGGAGATGGACAACCGATGTAACTAGGTAATATATATACCGAAAACTTTGAATTTATGAAGCAGAAATAGTCGTGGATTTGTCGTTGAACCCACTGCAACCCATTCAAGCAAGCTTGTGCTTGTACTCGGAGAGGCATTGCATTGAAGAAGCAATTAACCTAATGGAAAGCCATAATTCTGCATGAGAGATATGAACCTGAAGTATAAGAACTCCAATTCATGGATTCATCCACCCAAAAATAATTTGAACATCAATCTAGGATATTGTACAAATTGAGCACATATTAGCTAGGGTGATAAGAACAGTCATGTGAAGAGACTTAGATGTAAAGTCCTCCTAATCTTACATTTGTGATTAAAGCATGAGCTCTGGAGCGTATAGCAACCCAAACAAATTAAGAGCATATTTATAATAGGAATAAGGTTCCTTAGTCACATTGGAAGCATTTAGATGTATGTCCTCATAATTATTCATTCTTTATGCAAGTTCCATAAAAGCATTAGTTGTGGAGAGTATGTCAATTGGTATAGAAACTTCTGACTCCTTAGTTATTTCTCCATGATGAAACCTGACAGGGACATGAGATGAGGTCATGAGCTAACATATGACCTGTCATGAATTGAGAATTTCTAGGTGAACAAAACAATCTAAAATTTAAGCTAAAGCGAACTAAAAAAGCAATGCTCACACTCGAGAAGGAAAGATGTAACCCAATCAAGATAAAGTTTTCCCTCAAATATAAATAGCTATTAAGGAAATCATCGAGCCCTAGAAACTTGTATTATCTCACAATTGAACTTATTCATTTGTCTAATTTAATTGAGGTGATTTTCCCTTTGACATCTATATCAATGGCTGACAATGTATCACTTGCATATTGTTGGTTTTGAAGAGATTTGGGATTGAAGTATCCGCTTTTGGTAAAGCGGTTAGCATGTATGGTAATAGCTGGAGCAGCATCTGCGGACTGCGTTCATATACTTCAACCTGCTCATATACTACCCAAGGTGATTCCATGACTATCTTTTTTAAACTTGTTGAAAACCAGGATGTAAGCATTTGTAGTATACTTCCTCTGTTTCTTTATACTTATAACTCTTCTGTTTTCACGCTTGCTGATGCATTATTTTAATCGTTAATATCTTTAATTGTGAATATGTAAAAATTATAAACATTAGATATTAAAATAGTATAAAAACGAAACGAATCTAACAAGATCCCACATGACTATATTTTTGTTTAACTATAATTGTGAAAGCTAGTCAAAGTAGAGTGCATAAACAGTGTAAAAGTCAGACTGTTGCAACTATAAAAAAAAAAAAAAAAAAAAAAAAACGGAGGAAGTATAAATTTGCCATGTTTTCAATATCTTGTTGACTTTAATAGCAGTTGGACACAAGGTTACTTGGTGTTGTGAACAAATATTTCTTAAGAATTGTTTAAATCATGTGTATTATGCATGTGTGGTATGAATTTAGATTATCAATTTGCAAGCACAACTTTTTGTTTCAACTTTGTGACATTTTTTCACACAATTCTAGTGTTTCAATGGTTCCGCGCCATGTAGTGACATCTATTCTATGTGAAATGTCATGACTTTTCTTGATTAGCACTAGCTTGCTCCCTGGTTCCTCTAATAATAAACTAGTAAGACCCTGTTCTTTTGAGGTTCTGGCAGAGCAGAGCACAACATGACTCAGCAAAGCAGAGCATAATTATTATTACTATAATTACATTATTATCGCATTATTATTATAATCATTTAAATATTATTCTTAAATATTAATTATTTATTATTATTATTATTATTATTATTAAAAATTAATAATTATTATCTTTAAATATTAGTTATTATCTTTAAAATATTAATTTTTATTATAAAAAATCAATTATTATTATTTTTATTAATAATAATAATAATTATTATTATCATTATTATTATTATTACTATTTTTATTATTATTATTATTATTATTATTATTATTAAACATTAATTATAATAATAATAATAAGAAGAAGAATAATAATAATAGTTATTAAATATTAATTATTTATTATTATTATTAAAAATTAATAATTAATAATTATTATCTTTAAATATTAGTTATTATCTTTAAAATATTAATTTTTATTATAAAAAATCAATTGTTATTATTATTATTTTTTTTTTAATAATAATAATAATTATTATTATTATTATTATCATTATTATTATTACTATTTTTATTACTATTATTATTATTAAATATTAATTATTATTATTATTATAATTATTAAATATTAATTATTTATTATTATTATTAAATATTAATTATTATTATAATAATTTAATATTAATTATTATTTTTAAACATAGCAGAGCAGAGCAGGATTGGGCAAAGCAGAGTAGGATTCAGCAGAGCAGCTCTAAAGTACAGGGCCTAAGACAACTTCGCTCTACTTTATGAAAAATAGCACTCATATGTCGTAATCATCTTCCATTATAATTTCTTGAGTATTTCTCAAGGTTCATAAGAAAAAAAAAAGTATGTGTAATTCAATAATTTCTTGAGAAGGAAATTTGATAATTATTTCCAACATTTGAAAATTTCTCTATCTGTTCATAAGACAAAAAAAAGTATGTGTAATTCAATAGACTCTTAACAGTTCACATTTTGCAAGAAAATTACTGGGCATATATAAAGTTAAACAGAATGTGGGGTAAACTATGGCAAATGAGCCAAGTTGGCGCAACTTTGGACACACTATCCACTAACTGTTTTCATAGATTAAATAAAAAAAAATAACCCACCACTCTTTTAATATAATAATTAAAAAAAGACCCTAAGTTCCCACTGATTATAATAAATATAATGTCCCAAAAACTATAATAAAAATAATACCACACTACCCAATGACTATAATTAAAGATTAAAATTAAATAATAAACCCTGTAATTACTATCGCACCGTAAAATAAAGGGGGAGGGGTAAAGAAGACATTAATGATACTGCCTGAAAGCATGTGCGGTTATACGGGCAGAGGGAGTATAACATTTTCACAAACGTAAATAAAAAAATGGTGGTCTCATCTACTTTGATCTATTTGTCTTGATTCTAATATGAATGGGCATTAAGTAAGTAAAATAAGGTGAAAATATCACAGCCTTAACTATTTTATTAGATACATTGAGGAATGATAAAAAAAAAAAAAAAAAAAAAAAAAAAAAAAAAAAAAAAAAAATTGCATCTCAAGCTTCAATCAAAATAAAATTCTTCCTGAGTTTCTTTTTAGTTGACACGGTTCTTTAGTCACGTTTGCTAATGCACAAATTTAACCATTAATATCTTTAATTACTGATAAGTAAAAATTATATACATTTGATACTTTGAAAATGTATATCGTGACTGTATTTTTCATTACGTATAAATCACAAAACACGGTCAAAGGGAAGTGTAGCATTTGCAATGAGTCACCTACTACTACCATATATATTATTTGTGCTATTATCTACTATAAAATGCTTCATCTATACTTGTCCATTAATGTTCATACTCTTGAAAATAATCTAAAGGCACTTTAGTTGATTTATAGTTGATGCACTTGCTTTTTTATGCTACCAGCACTTCGTATTAACTATCTTTAATAGATTCTCTGATGTAGAATGAACTTAGATATGACTTCATTGCCTTCATATGTGGCTATTTTAGTTATCAAGTGATATATTAATTGCTCAATTACCTACAATAGTGTTTAGTAGATTCAGGTTGAATAATGACAACATGATCGGAGTTTAGTGTGAACAAAGGACACCGTACACAACATAAGGCTTGTCATGGTTGTGTCAACTGCCACTATATAATACTAAGATACGGATTACAGTTGTCCGATATATTTGTTATTTGCAAAATCTATCATAAAACTCCGAATTATGGATGATTAAAGTTTCACTATTTCTTGATGCTACTTTGACTTTTGGAGTCCATGTGTTCAATGCAAGCTTTTGAAAATTGCTATGTGTTGGTGTGTTGCCATTGATAATTCTTCATGCCTAGATATGATGTTGGTCAACTGCCAAGATATTGCGCTAGCAGTTAGCAGCTGATGGATGTCAAACGAATTTCATCTTGAATTCTTTTTAGAGACATGAGCTGCTACAGTTCGATATTGGAACCATAACTTTTAGTTCTTTCTAACTTGCTAATATTTTTCAATTGTTTTTGCTCTTTTTTGGTGGGTAGTCCTAACTAGTCAATGTGCTATGTGATGAGAATCCTTACTCCAAATCTTCGATAGGTTATACAACAAATGTAGATTGCTTATTAATGTATATGTTTTCAGATTGAAGTGGAATATAGCATGCTTAGGAGTGCAATCGAAGGATTAAATATAACGAAGGAAAATTTAAATTGTATCCTCTTCGTTTGAGTTACTTGCATACTATCAGCAATACGTTTAACATTCAATGAAATATCCATGGAGTAGCTGGTGATCCTTTACAATACCAGTTTTGTCAGAGCAGTGGTATGCTGATGTATTGGCTCGTGTACGTATTAATGCATTTCGAATTGAAATGGTTGCTGGGTCATATGATGATCTCCATGCACTGGCAGCAGCATCAGTAGAAGCTGAATCTGGAGTTGGGAATGCTGTTTATATCCTTCCTTCATTCTACAATCATGATTGTGGTGAGCTCTCCTATCTTAATTAAAGATTTGTGTTCGAGTGCTCAAATATTCTTGACCCATGTACATAACAATTTCTTATGTTATTTGGACTCTTCTATTTTATCCTCGGTACGTGTCTGATCCTTTTAACTTTGACAAGGATGCAGACTCTTAATGCTTGATTTTGGACCAAAAACATGGAAACTTTGACAGGCTGATTCTAAAACTTGGACAAGTAAAAAATCTTGAGTCCAAGTAGCATAGGCTGGAGCTCAAAGATTTTTTAAAAATTATGCGCCTTAAATTATTGCCTATATCTTCCATGAAAGACTCAATGATACCCCCTAATCTACTTAGTCCAAAAGTAAAAAACTGAATACAAGCTTGGCCAGGGGTATCACATCTAATGGAGCATTGAGTAAATTGTTCACTTTTGTCATACTTAGCATTGATGAAAAGTGGTTTTTCTTTCAGATCCTAACGTGCATATTATATGGATGGACTCTGTTCATGCAAGGCTGAAAGCACTTCGTGACATCGAAGAAGGTATGTCTTATTGTTGCATGCATTAGAAGTGCGATTTGATGGCTTATCTTGGCACTACTGATTATTAGTTAGTCATAGTCCAAAAGATACATACATAGACTTCCTAATACAATTTGTAATAGGCCTTAGAATAATAATTGATCTAGAGATTGAAAAAAATTGTACATTAAAGTCACATCATAAACGTTATACATTAGGTGTATAGTGCGTCTCAAATAATGATCATTATAATAGAATACTACATATATTATAGTACTGAGAAAAAGATTATGTATTACTTTGTATTTAAAACAAGAAATTCTAGAGAGAGAGAGATAGAAGATAAGACGGGTTGTTCCTAACTGAGAGTTAAAAATCAATCTAATGTGTACAATGCTAACAACTGGTTACTTAGTGTGTGGCAAGTGTGACTATTTGTGTGTGAATGTGTATAGATAATGACGCGAAAAATTTTCCCTAATTTTTTTATAAGTGAAGGGTACCGACTTTCTCCCGAAAAAGAAAAACAAAAAAAGATGTACAATATACAGAGTTTTGAGAGTTTCCCGAAAATGGAGTAAGTTTCTAAACTTCCCCAAAAGAAAAAAAGAAAGAAGGAAATTTAAAATTCCCCAAAAATAAAAATAAAGTAAGGCCCTGTTCATTAGAGCTGCTCTGCTTTGCTGAGTCCTGTTCTGCTCTACTCTGCTTCAATCTCTGCTCTGCTATGCTTAAAAATAATAATTAGTATTTAATTATTATAATAATAATTAATATTTAATGATAATAATAAATAATTAATATTTAATTATAAAAATAATAATTAATATTTAATAGTAATGATAATAATGATAATAATAATAATATAATAAAAATAATAATAATAATAATAATTAATTTTTTATAATAAAAATTAATATTTTAAAGATAATAACTAATATTTAAAGATAATAATTATTAATTTTTAATAATAATAATAATAATAATAATAAATAAATATTTAATTAATATAAATATTCAATATTCAATATTTAATAATAACATTTAATAATAATTATTATTATTATAATAATAATAATAATTAATATTTAATAATAATAATAACAGTAATAAAAATAGTAATAATAATAATGATAATAATAATAATTATTATTACTAAAAATAATAATAATAATAATTGATTTTTAATAATAAAAATTAATATTTTAAAGATAATAACTGTTCCGGATGGAAACAATGGGATCTTCGGCAGATCCCTTTTGAGGGAGAAGACCGATCTCGGTCCAAAGAACACCGGAGGCGAGGGTTTCCTGCACAGCAAAGAACACGTAAACTAGCCTCGGGGGTGGTTGCCGAGGAAGGCCCCTCCGATGCTAAAGTCAGTTTAGTTGAGAGAGAAAGCTATGCAAGAGATTTTGGCTAACTAGGTGATCCCAATCCCGACTCAAGCATGCGCACAATTAACTCCAAACCTGAAATTAAGAATGCTTACCAATAATGGTAAAAAGGGCGAACCAAAACAAAAAGGAATACGGGTTAGCAAAACGCTAAGTACATATAAGTGCAAGGCAGGTAAATAATTTTATTCGGCAAACATGCTATTGAGATAATAACTTTAATTTAAACATGCCAAATTATGACTTTCTTGAAATTCATCACTTTCTAAAATTAGACTTCCCAAATTTAGAATTTCCAAAGTTAAACCTTCCAAAAATAGTAATGTCCATCAATAGAAACTTTGCGAACCAATAGATTTCCAATTTATAAACTTTCCAATTTAAGACATATTTCTAAAATCAATTTTCCTCACTTAAGTGTGCACACAGGGCTGCCCGGTTTCTCAAATTGAGAAACGTCTTTTGTTTCTCTAATGGCAAAATATGTATATATTTACAAAGTTTTTAATTTTTTATTATTTTTTTTGGTAACTCACATAATTAGCATTAAATGTTGTTTTTTATTTCCCATCCTCTTGTCGTTAGTTGTTGTCTTTCACTCTTTCCTTCTTCATCCTCCCTTCTTCTTCCTTCTTCAATTTTCTGCAACAATGGTGATTATGGTGTAATTTGCCCAACACCACAACGTACATTGTCCTCGACAACACTAACACTGCAACAAACCCTGACCCAACACACCAATTTAGGGGCTTCGCCGCCAAATTTAGTGAAAAAACCTAAGAAACATATGTAAATTAAGGGCATGGTTAACCCTAAATGGTAGGTAATTGTCATTGTTTGTGAGCGTTTCCTTCATTGTTGTAGCGTTTCTCTACCTCCATTGGTGAAGGATTCTCAAACTCCATTCTCGAGGAGAGATGGGTATGTTATTTGTGGGTTAATGTTGTTAAGCTTCCGTTAAACCAAAAAGACGGAAATACCAAACATACATGTTTCTCTTGTTGAGAAACTTGTATTTTCTCGTGTGCACACCCCCAAGCAAGTTAAACTATATTCAAGGAAAGACCAGATCATGCAAAGTTCATGGTCCCACTTAACCAGTGCCGGGTAGAGGGAGTCCTGGGTAGGATTATAAAAATTAAATACCCAGGCCCATAATGAGCTACAAATTTTTAAATTAATTCCCTTAATTCAATAACTTGTAATCAAGTGATTTATATACAACTTTTATTAATCAACACTTTATCAAACCTTTAAATTATAAAATTATATTTTAACTCATCATGAAAATCATTATTTCAAATTTTCCATACGTAACATTTATTCAAACAAACATTTACCAAAACATGCATTCAAAACTTGTATCAAAGACTTAGCCACCTATACGTATCTTGGTCACGAGAAAATTAAGGTACGACTACACTTGATCAGGACTCCTTCTACACAATTAAAATAAACTTAATTAAAATAAGGTTAACAAAATAAACACAAAACTATAAATAATACTCTACTTGTGCATGAACTACCAAAATATTAACTTATAAAACCAAACCTTTATAATGAATTTATAGTAGTATAATCATAATAGTATTAGTGTACAACATTATAGTTTACTTTTGTACAAATATCATAATAATAGTATTGTTAGTTAAAAGTAACGATGATAGAAAGGAAATCACATAGTACGTATCGTTATGGGTAGTATAAAACAAAAGTATTAAGTTTGTGGTAAGTAAGGTAAGAGGACAGGGGGGAAGCGTAGCACCTTGCGGGCAGGGATGTTGGGTGATGCGGGTAGGTGGTTGAGAGCTAGTTGTGGTTGCGCGGAAGGGGGTGATAGGCGGTAAAGATGGCAGCAATAAGGTGGCAACAATAGGACTTTAGATACTCTAAGCAGAATTGCATGAATCATATTCATAAGCATCTAGTAACCAAGATCTATGCATAACACTCAAAGAACATATAATTATACCTTTGAAGCGTGATTCCACGAGTGATTGAGCAAGAACAATAAGGAGAACTAGAACCCTAAACGTGATTCCTCTACTTGGTCCACGAGCACAAATTGAACCTTCACTAATGCTAGTTAGTTGTGATTGAACCTTTTCAATCAACCTTCTACGAAGAGGAGAGGAACGAACTAACCACCACAAGCACCACGCGCCACCAAGGAGGGGCGACCGTACGGATGGGAGAGAAGGGGAGGGCGTGCGTGAGAGAGAAAATAGGGTTAGGGAGTTTGGTTGCCTTGCTTCACAATGTACTGTATGGTTAATTGTGACTTGTCATCAAAACCTAGGCAAGGACTCTATTTATATATTCCATACATAACTAGCGTCCATGTGAAGCCCAAACACTTAACCCAATTCTAACTACACTAACCTTCCCATTCACATGGTTTGTCATTACCTCATGAGGCCCATTAATAGGCCTCACCCTTGTTTAATCCAATACCCTTGTGTGTGACCTCATAGGATCCATTCTATTGGGCTTTGGATTATTTGACTAACTCAAAGATCATTTATCATATCTAGCAACATATAATGACGACCCAAAAGAATGAACTAATTATCTCCATAATAGTGATCCTTGATATATCTAGTAATTGCACTTAGACGAAGACATAAATCCTTTAATCTCCTATTTATCTGAGACAAGTGTGCAATATTCAAATTCCTTAAGTCAATGTGTGTCGATTTGATAATATGATTGCATCTCATGTCGAAATCATATTAATCTACAAATCTTTTCTTGAAAACTGAGTTAGAATTACAAAATAAGTGATTACTATGTAATCCATTTGAGCACAGCCATGCATTTTCTGAATTCTCCCTCTTCAAGGGGCCATGACACATTCCTAATTAAATACGTAGACTCAATCCAATCTTGTGGCAACTAAGGCTCCCACTCAACTTTTAAAGTAACCAGGAAACATCTTTCATAGTCCCCTTTTACGGAATGACGTTTGGATGTACCACAGTTAAATCAATCATTGAATTAAATCAATGTTCCACTCATGTCAAAGGAATCCACTAATATATCCGGAGGCTTTATACTTGAACTTCAAAGTAGGTCAATAGTTCAATCATGCATACCCATGTGATTGACCGAGCATCTCTATGCCCCTATATCCCATGAAACTGCACTATCCAATCAATCTTACATGCTAGTCCATTTACTGAAATCATTGATGTCCAATTTAATGATTTCGAACTTGGAACTTAAATAATTTATGAATTTAGTTCATCTGTGGAGTTTCATTCGCCAAGTCATCAACTTGATGAGCCCATAAATTCATAAGTATTTTGGACATCTTATTTAACATCAAAAACCATAATTAAATAAGAGAAATAATAAATTTCTGATTAAACATAATTTTGCAAGTAAATGTATTACATATGTAATAAGTTTTCTCAAAACAAATACAACTTAAATTACATCTCTTGCTACAATCCAGTTGCCCTAGTATGAGCCTCATGCTTAGGCTATGGAAGGGGTTTAGTATGTGGATCAGCGATATTCTCATCCGTATGAACTTTGCTCATCTTGCTCGTCTGCTAACGATCTCTTGAATGAGGTGATACTTCCTCTCAACATGTTTGGATTTGATATGTGACCTTGGCT